AATAGTTCTAGAAAAATCTCTTTGCGTCGGCTTTCAAATATAATTAAATATATTCGACACTAGATGGCGATACTTTGTGTCATGTGAATTAAAAATACAAAGGTCCGTAGAGCTCAGTATTGGTAAAATAATCATACGAAAGTGCTGAAATTTGTTTTGCATTCAGACATAAAGAAATTTTAATCGCCAATATATTATTTTTATAGTTTATAACATTTTGTGGACATACCGCCATCTACCGTCAAGGTAGCTAAGCTACATTGCAACATCAATATGGAAAGATTCGAGTAGTTTTACTATTTATCGGTAGATGTAGATAGTGTAAAGTGGGCGGGGCTTTGCATCCCCTCACCCCGCAAATTGTCACGTGTTGTTTCATAGTGAAATTTAATTACAACGTCTCCTCTTTGTATTTGCTTCATGGTCTAGACCATGAAGCTAATACAAAGGGGAGACGGCATAAGCAACTGTGCACTGTGATTCTAAGTAGGTCCTGACGTCATCATAGTGGGCGTGGCTTTAGTTAGTATACTGTCAGCATTCGTCCTGTGCGCTTATGTGTTGAAAAAATCGCAAATCGGTGTATTTTCGTAGTATTAAGAAGAAAAGGATGAAGTGTTGTGTTTTATTGTGTAAAAACTACTCAGATAGATGCTCTGATGTTATGGATGGCATCACATTTCATTTGTAAATATTTTTACACCTAATTTATTAAAATAGTTCTAGAAAAATCTCTTTGCGTCGGCTTTCAAATATAATTAAATATATTCCACACTAGATGGCGACACTTTGTGTCCTGTGAACTAAAAATATAAAGGTACGTAGAGCTCAGTATTGGTAAAATAATCATACGAAGGTGCTGAAATTTGTTTTGCATTCAGACATAAAGAAATTTTAATCGCCAAAGTGTTATTTTTAAACTTTATAACATTTTGTGGACATGCCGCCATCTACCGTCAAGATAGCTAAGCTACATTGCAACATCGATATGGAAAGATTCGAGTAGTTTTACTATTTATCGGTAGATGTAGATAGTGTAGTGGGCGGGGCTTTGCAATCCCCTCACCCCGCAAATTGTCACGCGTTGTTACATAGTGAAATTTAATTACAACGTCTCCTCTTTGTATTTGCTTCATGGTCTAGACTCAATGGCTAACGTCTCTTAAATGATCCTTGTTATTCCGAACGGAAAAAAAACGTATGTGTGTGATGTATTCATGGAATCCTGATTCGGGATTCCGAAACGGAATTCCGCATGTAACTTTTTTTTTAATACCGTACTTTATTTTTCCACTACGTTGATAAAGAAGTTTCACTTCAAAAACATAAAAATAATACATAAAACAATAATGCCCGATCCTAATCAGAATACAGTTAATTAAATATAAAGTTTTCGTAAAAAAACAATTATTAATAAATATAGTTGTGATACTCGGAAACGGAAACATTGCTGACGCGCGCACAAATCAACGGCCGCGGCCGTATGCGATTTATTTCTCGAAAGTTCAGGTTTTATTATTATTTTCTAAATTATTTATAGAATTACGAATTATTTTCACTAGTTGGCACGTATATTTTACAAAAACAGCATTAATCATTACCAAGTAGAGAAGGAGCTTTGCACATGTTCAGATCTCAACTCTTATCGACAAAACCACGATAACGACTACCCGAAGGTCCTTTGTATTTGTACCAAACTTGGTACCTTTTTCACATATCCTTTACTTCGCCAAGATTACATCCTACAAGAGAAGAATTAAGAATATAAAATGGTAAACAGAACATAGTGCCAGTACCGTCATGTAACGTCAGTTTTTTTGACGTCTATATGAAAACTAAACTGACTGAAATTATATAAAACTAGCTGACCCGGCGAACTACGTACCGCCTAACAGTCGATTCTTTAATTTTTATTTTTTTTAATACTTATTCTGCTATTCAGGACACCGGGTCAGCTAGTAAAATAAAAAAAAAGAAAGTTGATAAGTCAACAATTATATTATGACAAAAAATAAAAATTATAAAACACTTAAAATTCTTTTAATAGTCACTAAAAATCTCAATGAAAATTACAATTTCTGATTTCTTATTATGATACCTACTTAATAAATTTCATTTTATTTTTTCTTATTCTAAATTAAGTTTCCATCGTTTAAATATTGACAAATATTTATACGATACGAAACGATATAATATTTATACAATACTAACGTCACTCAATTGTTTTGCCTTCCCGGAACCCCTCAGCTAACACTTAAACTTTATGGTATGGTATTAAAGTTTAAATTGACTTTTAAGTATTATACGAATCTTTTGTATGGGAATATAGAAAAGTGTTGTTTTTAGACTTTTTGAGGCAATTTTTTAATTTTTCTCTCCGTAAGAACTATCTTCGTACTTCAAGCAACATTATAAAAAAAGAATTAGCGAAATCGGTTCAGCTGCTCTCGAGATTTGCGCTTAGCAACACATTCAGCGATTCATTTTTATATTATAGACTAGCGGCCCGTTCCGGCTTTGTCCGGGTTAAATACCATATTTTTTGTTCCGTTTTTATTTATTTATTTTATTTATTTAAACTTCATATACACATGTGGTATATAGTCGGACTTAATGCCTAAGGCATTTTCTACCAGTCTACCTTGGGATGATGCAGAGATAGAATGGAGTAGGTGTAATAAAAGTTAATATGCGAATACTAAACTAAAATAACAAAAAAACATTTGGAATACATGGAAATAAAATACATAAGATATAAATCATATATCACAAAAAATAAAAATAATATATAGGTACCTATATATATAGTTTTTCTGAGATTTTAAAATAAATTGATTCTCTGCATTCCATGATCTAGACTCTACAGAGACGAACATGCCATATATACATATATTATAATGGTAAAAGTAAAAAAAAAATCAAATAGGTTTAGTAGTTCTGGAGGTGCCATTCATATTTTCATATTTTACTAAACAAGCTTTTATTTAGTTTCACCTATCCCGATGCCTGTCTATAATCAAATCAATTTTACCCACTTTTCGGTTTCCGATTGAAATTTTGCATGCTTAAGTATCTTTGTAAATCGGATGATAATGCAATATTGTGATAATATTCATTAGACATTGTTAAAAAACTAATGTTAACCCCTAAATACTTACACTTTAGTTACCAGCATAAAAATCGCGCACACGAAATAAAAAATACGATATTAATGTAAATAATTTTAAAGATTATTTCATCGTCTTTCGATTGTTTCTAATTAAATGTCTATACACACTTGTCCAAAGATCACCTTTATAAAGTAAAACCAAACTCATCCGAAATCACTCCTATCAGGTAGCACAAGTTGTACGACTACCTGCGGGTACAAAAAGGTTGATATTGAGTGATTAGCCCTCGCCCTCGCACTTTAAGCCTCTAATTGGAAAGATCATTATTGACTACACACCCACTCAGAAAAATAAAATGAATACTACACTCGGACATGCTGCTCAAGTCAGAAAATCAAAGTGAAGACAAAATGACGGTTCCGTGGCATCTGGCTGCATGTTTGTCCTTGTAAAATTTAAGTTACGGAGACAATCGTAGTATGGAAGTATCGGTTTTTTTTTTAAGAAATTAAAATAAAAGAAGAAGTGTCTTCTTTTATTTTAATTTCTTAAAAAAAAACGAAATTCAATTGTTGAGTGCAACAATTGAGTTTGGATATTTCGTTCGACATATAGGTAGCGCTGATGATTCTGCCATAACCACAAATGCAGGCACGATCAGCCTAGAAGTGTTTATGAAATACATTTCAATAATTATTTTATAAATTGAAATACTTCGTTGCTTATAAATATACCTATATATACATCTAGGGATATATACACACACATACAAGACATATTATACATAAATATATTCATATCATATATTCTATATAAAAATAAAAAGGTTTCAAAAAATTTTGTAAATACACACTAAAGCAAAAACAAACATAAGCAAAAAATCCTGCACCTACGAGTCTTTGGGACCTTCAACCTGCTATAATCTCTATATGATATTTCTTCAAAATATTTTACTTCAAAATGCAACATAAAAATAATTAATACCGTGTAATGGCGGCATAAGTGAATCCAGAAATGAAACAGGAGACGGGCAGCAGCGTCTTCATCATAACAACTCCATATAATTAAAACTGGATGCCAACACGCCTGCCAAATATCCTCTCTATGAAAGAATCTATGGGGGAGGTCTTTGTTCAGCTGTGGACTTTGGCTGTAATGAATGAAAAAAAAAACGCCTTAAATGTAATAATGTATTGCTTGTCACCGTGGACAGAATCGCAAAAATCTCCGAAAGTATATTTTCATGCCAAAAAACGACATTTTATTTCATGAGGTTTTTATTTAGTGTTTTTTTAATATCTGCTATATATAACAGTGCGTGGTGCCAGTGGTGACTTTGGATCTGAGACGTGGTCCTTCACTGCTGGCCGTAGGAGGACGCTCAAGGTCGCTCAGCGAGCTATGGAGAGGGCTATGCTCGGAGTTTCTTTGCGTCATAAACTTAAAAATGAGTATATCCTCAGTGGAACCAGAGTAACCGATATAGCCCAACGGATTAGTAAGCTGAAGTGGCAGTGGGCCGGCCATATAGCTCGAAGAACCGACAACCGATGGGGAAGAAAGGTTCTCGAGTGGCAGCCTCGTACCAGTAGGCGAAGTGTAGGACGACCCCCCACTAGATGAAGTGACGACCTGGTAAGACATGCAGGAAGTCGATGGATGCAGGTGGCTCAGGACCGTGCTTTGTGACATTCCTTGGGGGAGGTCTATGTTCAGCAGTGGACTCATGAAGGGCTGTAATGATGATGAATGATAATATATTATATTTAATATGTTTGCTTTTATATTATACATTTTTTTATAAATATTTACAAGTAGATATAATTCAAGAACAATAATTATATTTATGTTATTACATTTAAAAAAGAATAAAAATTATTAAAATATCGGTCAAGCATTTGCTTTAGGCTTCATCTTTGGCGGCTTTATGATCGAACCGATGCTTCTTCTTCTCATCATGGCGGCCCTCTTTTTGGCGGGAGTTGGCATTCCTTTCGCCAATTTCTTAGCATGTGTTTTTTTCATTTTACCGTCTTTACCTTCTTTACCTTCTTTTCTTCCTTCTTTTGCTTTAACTTTCTTTTGATTAACTTCCACTATGTTATCCACGTTTTCTTTCTTTTTTGATTTTTTTTCAAGGTTCTTTTTTGTTTTCGCCTCTGTTTTTGGTTTGATAGACTTTTTACTCGTAGGTTTATCATCGGACTCTTTGATTTTCTCGGCGAGTTTTTTTGTTTTCGCTTTCTTTTTTTCAACTTTATCTTTTCCGACCACTAATTTGAAAGATCCGGAGGCGCCGATCCCTTTCGTTTGTATTATGGTTCCCGCTTCAACTTCAGCTTTAATAAGTTTTTTGATAATGCTGTTTATTTTTTTGACGTCTACATTAAATTTCTCGTGTATATACTTCTTGATGGCGTAAAGTGAAGTCCCCTTCCTGCTCTTTAGATCAGTTAAAGCTTGATGAATCATAACTTTTGTGCTTACTTTCTTCGGTTCTTGATTTACTTTTAATATTTCTTCAGATGGGCTCCTCGGAATTTTTTTCGTTTGCTTCTTTGGCAGTGTCGACCGCATCTCGATATCGGAGCCGTCAGACATTTTGTCTGTTGTTTCTATATGTTTTTCTAAAGTAAAACGTAGTTTTTATATCATGTAATCACAATCCTAAACAGGTAAGTTTTTTACAAGCATCTTAACTAAAACTGAGCGTTACCTTAAAGAGAGCCTGTTAATTTTATGATTGTTCTGTTATATTTTACTTCGCACTTTTTTCTTACTCTTATCATTCTAAGAGTTTATAAAATCGATTATAACGATGATATTCAAATTTATAATAACGTATTTCATTATTAATTAAAATATCTATTTATATTATATTTAAGGGAGTTCACTATCCCTTATTATCCCGTGGGTGACGTAAGAGACGTAAGAGGCGACAGAGGGAGACTGAAAGAGCTCTGTCAACCCCCCAAAAACGACAAATGTCATTCCCTCCATAAGGCAATCTATAGGCCTTCCTAATTATGTTCTATGTTTAATAAGCAACAATGAATGAATAAATAAATAATGAAATTGACTCGCTAGCTATTGTACGCTTACACTGTGGTTCCACGGACGTGAAAATTTTATCAAACGTGTCGCCTATTATATAGAACTCTCTGCATGCATGATGGAAGAGTTATATAAATTTGTAACCGTAGCTCCATTTATCTTTTTTTCTATCCTTTCTATCCTTCTTCGTTTATCTGTTTATCTAATTTTTTCATTGTATGCGAGCAACCCAAGTTTGACACCTGCTAACAGCAATGAAATTGTCATTTGCGATTTTACGTGCTTACGTGATAAAAGCTGCATATCTTAGAAATATAAGATCATGCCTCGAGGACATGTGCAGTTCACTAATACGCGCTGGAGCAGTGCAGCATCAAGGCCTGCACCAAAACTCTCCCAGAAAAGGAAGTGCCTAGACTTGTGACCAGAAGCAGACCTCTGTCACTCTTGCTATCTGCGTGAAATAATTACCTACAATCGCGAGGCGAGCCGACCCAGCAGACGTATCTAAAATTTATTAATAACTCAACCACCTAGCGGATCCAAATTTTATGATTTTCTTACTTCAGCACTACAATAATCGCAAAATTAGTTAAAAGAAGAGATATGATTTTTGTCAGATCCTAGTAGCTATGAACCATCGTCACAAAAAAGCAAATTAATTGTGTGAATATGACTTAAATCGGTCATGTTGTTCAGAAGTTACGCGACCAGTAACAATAGCACCAACGAACAAAAAAAGATGGTTCCCCGACATAACAGCCCCGGACAGAATAGCCCCGACAAAACAGCCCCGACAAAACAGCTCACCGACAAAACAGCCCCCGTCAAAACAGCCCCCGACAAAACAGCCCGTAAACAGGTAGTATAATATTATTACTTTGCTAGTTGCATTGATAATCGTGCTTTTTATCTTCAGAGTATATTACATAATGAAAATATAATATAATAATAATAATTATTTCTGTGAATATATTGTGGAATTTTATATTCAGCTTTCAATTTAATTAACTTACCTATTATGAGTAGGTTCCAAGAAGGGGCGATTTACGTTTCAGCCGATTAGCAGATTTGAATAAATGTTATAATAACTTATAGTCCGTTCATCGCTTTAAGAAAGTAATTTGTAATGTGTTTACAATGCCTATTGTACCGCTTGCGGCGATAATCCTCTTATTGCTATTGAACGAGTATGGGTCATTTAGAAATACATGGGAAGTGTTAATAAATTACTTAATTGTTCTATAATTGCAGCACCAGGTAAGGGGATAATCCCCCGTAAAAGAAAAGTTAGTTTCTTAAACCGATGAACGGACTATACCTATTATGAGTAGGTTCCAAGAAGGGGGGATTTACGTTTCGGCCGTTAGCAGTAATATATAAGAACATCGGGACACACAAAATAACTATAGTCTTGTAGAATTTTGTCTGGTGAAGATCATGGAACTTATTCAATCGCAGAAAGGCAAAGATTTACTGTTGAGCGATGGGTACCGGTATCGTAAGGCGAGAACTAATACCGATGGCAGTGTATCATGGAGATGCGCCGAGACACCTTGCCGAGGACGTGTCAAAGTGTCTTTGGAAAATGTCGTGGTAAATGTGACTCGACACAGTCATGCTCCAGATCCAGCTAAAAATGAAGCAAAAAAATCTGTGTCTAATATGAAAAGGCGAGCAGCGGACACCCTTGAGAAACCAAGGCAGTTGATTCAAGGATCGACAAGAGGGATAAATTTGGAAGCATCAGTCCATTTGGCATCGTACAATGCATCTCAGAGAACTGTTGAGCGTATTCGGCAAAGGCGTGAAGTGTCGTGCCCAAACCCAGGCTCTGTTGCCGATATTAATATTCCTGTTGCACTACAAGTCACTTTAAGAAATCTAAATTTCTTGTTATGGGATTCTGGACAGAATGATCCTCATCGCATCTTCATGTTTGGTACTGAAGAAAATTTGGAAGTTTTAGAGGAGCACCGGCACTGGCACGTAGATGGAACCTTTAAAGTAGCCCCACAATTATTTTTACAAGTATTTACCATTCATGCATTGGTAGATAACCGTTCTATTCCGTTGATTTACGTGCTTCTACAGGATAAACGAGAAGAAACATATGTTCGAGTGTTTCAAAAATTGATGGAGTTGAAACCCACTTTAAATCCAATAAGCTGCTTATCCGACTTCGAGAAAGCGATCCAAAATGCAGTTTGCCAGGTATTTCATGGTGTTCAGGTGATGGGTTGTTTATTCCACTTAGGGCAGTGTTTATGGAGGAAAATCCAAGAGCTACATCTTGTAGAAGAATATCGCAATGACGAAAATGTGAGATTGCATTTGAAAATGTTACTAGCGTTATCTTTTGTCCAAGAGGGCGACGTAATCACTGCTTTTGAGGAGCTAACCGAAAGCTGTCCACGAGAAATTGATTCAGTCATCGATTACTGGGAAGATACTTATATAGGACGGCAAAGAAGAAATCGGAGAGCAGATCCAAAATTTCCTATTCATGTATGGAATGTTCATGATAGAGTGCACCAGGGCCTTCCGCGTACAAACAACTCTGTAGAAGGATGGCATCATGCTTTCCAACACACCGTTGACTGTCACCATCCATGTATTTTCAAATTAATAGACCACTTCAGGAAGGAACAAGACCGGGTAGAAATAGAGTTGGAACGTTTTCGAGCCGGCTTCAGAAATCCCGAAGCTTCCAAAAAGAAGTATGTGCAACTTAATCGTCGATTGGAAACTCTTATGGGAAATTATAACAACGACGACCTTTTACCGTATCTCCGTGGAATTTCCAACAATCTGACATTATAAATTGATATATTATTATATAACTTCATTTATTTTTATTTTATAATAATTATTAATAATTGTAACCTTTGTAATTAATAACCTTTGACGAATATAGTTTGTAGAATTTTGTTTGTAAATATACATTATAATATAATTTTATACCTACATTTATTTTTGTTTTTATTTCGTGTGTAGACGATGCAATAGTTTTGTTGAAAACAAAAAATACATAAAATGAACCAAAAAAAGTCACGTAAAGTATTAACATTCGTTTTACACCACTTACAATTTTAAATTTGATATCATTTGTAGAAAACATTATTCAGATACATTTGCAATAGTTGGAATGAACAAATTGTAAAGTATAAATTTTTATAAGGAATAATTTCTTGCTAAAACTCACAATAGAAAAGTTTCCCATATATCGCCAACTGAAGTAGATACACGGTATAAGTATAGTTATAAATTCTATAGATATGTATGGTATTTATTTTGACTTGGGCTGTTTTGTCGGGGGCTGTTTTGACGGTGGCTGTTTTGTCGGTGGGCTATTTTGTCGGGGCTGTTTTGTCGGGGGCTGTTTTGTCGGGGCTGTTTTGACGGGGCACCAGCGTATGAAATTATGGGTAGCTTTAGGGTACATACAACTACGAGCATCTCAAAAAGTACATCGCACCGTACATAAACATTGATTTGAAAGTGAGGGTAGATGCATAATCATTTTACAATGTATATATAAAAAGAGGGCTTGTGATGTAGACCTACTATTATATTCAGATAAGGAAACCTGAGAGGTTATAATCAATAACAACGGTAGCTATATTTATAACAATTTAATATTTTTGAAAAAATACATTACTGATTACAAAGTGTAAACTCTATATATATAGAATGCGCCTTTTATGGCGTTGTTGAGAGTTTGTCGTTAAATAGATAGAAGAAAAATCAATATTATTTTAGTAGTGAAATATTATTAATTAATAAAGTATAGAATTTACAAACAATAAACATTAATATTGATACAAATAACAACGCTTATTGCTTATACCTACTCTGTTATCTCCGTTTGAAGTTTTTTTGTTGCACCAATGTTTTAATTGTATTATGTATTTTATTATCTTATGTATTTTGTCATATCTTGGGATACTGCTGGGTCAACTTGGTTATACAAAAAGTATTTTTCTAATAACATCGCTGCGTCGAGTGCTTGTTTAATGCTCGGTGAAGGCTCAGGATCATCTTCTTTATCGCCCGTTGTTCCTTAGTTTTTCTTACCGAATTCAGAATTTCTTCATCTGTAAGCAAAGCTGTTGTAGCCAGGTTTGTAGATTTTCAGTGAAGTTTTGTGGCATGTTGAACTGTTGAACCCATTCATTTAATGGAATGTCACAGATTTTATAGTAACATGTATGTGTATGTGCCTGGATTTGCGGTTGCGTCTTATTTTATAAAGTCACTTAGATGTGGAAGTAGTGGGGTGATGTCGTATGATACAGCACGTGACGTGCCGCATCGCAGTCCCGCAATGTTGCCGTCTGATTTACTTTGTTACCGCCACATTATTCGACAAGCCGCCTTCACGGTAATGTGAATTACATGGTACGGGGAAAAGTTCTTTAAAAATAATATTAGAGTTTATGAAAATTTAAACAACACGTATTGATAATGAGCTCTGATGATCCAAGTGCGAATACTGGCTCATAGTAATTAAATTATTGTCTTGTCATTGGTCCTTGATACGAGTG